GTACGTGGCCAGGTTCTCCGGATACCTCCTGCTTCGAAGCCGCCTCCCACGCCACGCGCGCAGCGTCGCGCTGGGCAAAGGACGAAAGAGTCACCGTGCTCGCGGACCTAAGTGCGCGCCACTTGCCTGGACACGGCTGGGCTGGCCGTGGCGAGTCTCTCGCCCCGTCATCATGACTTGAGCGACGCTGCGTTCCGAGCCCAGCGTCCGCTCTCGGCATTTCCACAGCACGGGCCTCGCTCGACATCACCGTGCGACCCGCGAGAGAAATTCCTGGGCGAGGCTGGTCTTTTGCACTTTAGGAAGGACTTGTCGGGGAGAGCCCAGTCCAAGAGGAGGAGGAGGAGGAGGAGGAGGAGGAGGAGGAGGAGGAGGAGGAGGAGGTTGAGGAGATGATTGTGGTGGAGGGTGGGGGAGGGTGGGGGAGGAGCAAGAGGTGAAGGACGATGAGGGGGATGGGGAGGGGAGGGAGGACGGCAGGGGCTGGCTGGCCTGAGCAGGGCGGGGGGGGGGCGCCAGCTCTCTCCCAAAGGTTCGGCCTTGGATGGGCGGCGCTGGGCGAGACCGATGCTGGACGAGGCCGACGCCGAGCGGTGCCCACGCTGGGCGAGGCCCGCGTCGGGCGAGGCCGGCGCTGGGCCAGGCCCGCGCTGGGCGCGGCCGAGGCCGGCCGAGGCCGGCGCTGATCCAGGCCGTCGCTCTGCTTACTCGGGGAGACGTAAGACTCGAGTAGGCCGGAATGCGGGTTTGCCGCCGTTTTTTGACGCGCGCGTCCTGGATTCTGACGGTCCAGCTTTTGTGGGGTGTTGACAGCGGGAGCTCGCGTCAAACTTCAGATTGGGTTTTGCCGTTTTGATGACGGCCCCGTCAGGACAACCCGAGTCCCCCGTTCCCGAGTCTTACGTCTCCCCGACTGAAGCTCGCTACGTTTTTGCTTGTGTGTTGTTTTTGTCGTTTGCTTGGTGTTTTTGTTTGTCCTCTCTCTCGCTCCCTCCCTCTCTATATGTCTATATGTACATCTCTTGCACGTCCGTTTCTTCTTGCCACGCGCCTGTTGGTAGTCTTTGCGTATAGTGCCGCGCGCGCACCACGCAACGGCGTGCCAGGCATGGGGCGATTCGTCAGACACCGCACTAGAGAGGAGAGTCCTAGGCCTCCCCCCACGGAACGTCGCCAGATGCCCCCAGGCACGTCACCAGGGAAGACGCTTTGAGACACGTACGCAGACACGCCCCCGTGTACGGCCCAGAGACGCCTTCATCATGGAGCACTCCTTTGGGCGGGAAAAGGATGACAGGTATGACATATGGAAGCGTATTACAATATTCCAGGAGTTATTCGGTCTGCAAAGGGGGGTCCTGGAGTGGCTATTGGAAGCTTATTAAGGGGCTTTTCGGGATATCTCGAGCGTGTCCTCGGGGACTCTTGGTGGACCCTTGGGGTCCTGTGGGGGTCATCTTGGGTGCTTCTTCGGTCTGTTGGGCCCGTGTGGACTCTCTTGGACAGTCTCTGGGGGTCTCTCGGTTTTTTTCTTAGGCCTTGTTCGGTCGTCTCGAAGACTAACTTATTTCATGGAGGCTTGTGGTGGGCAGGGCCGGTGGCGTTCACATTTCTTATCGTACCTCCGATTGCTGCGTAAGCCCTGCAGTTGTGAGTAGTAGGGGAGGGGTCGCTTAAAGACAGCGTAAGGTGTTTGAGTTTCCCAGGCTATCAGAGAGGCCGCCTGCCGCCTTCTCGGGAGGGATTCGGCTCAGAGGCAACAGGGCGCGCTTGGCTCAATTTCTTTCGGCGGTAAGGCCAGAGGAGGAACAAGCCATGTCTGATCTCGCGCCCGTCTTGTCGCCGAGACTGCAAGCGTGTTTGCCCACAGGGGTACCAGAGACCTTGGATTGAAAACGGTACCTGGTGGCTGAGAACCGCCGTTCGATTCTCCAAGCGCATACGTGGTTTGATTCATCAGGAGTCGCTGTTGCAGAGTTGGGCGGTGAAGCCGACTGTAGCTCGTCAGTGGCCAAGGATTTCTATGCACGAGTTGATCAGAATGCTTCGGCGGCCGTCAGGGGACATGCTTGTGCGGAGTTGGCCGGAGGATCGGTGGCCAGTTTGGCCAGGAGGAAGAGGCACAAACCGGAAAGGATGGAACAGAGCTGCCAAGACCGAGGGACTGCAGCGCTGCCCAGCCAGGTTGGGTTTGTGCTCGAGCTCGCCCGTCACATTGGGGACGCATCGCCGGGACTCCAGGGATGAGCCCTCGAAGGCCTCAGTTGGGAGGATCAATCGAATGATCGAGGTCGCATCGCATTGTCGATGGCCTTTGCTGAAGTTTTCCGTTCGACCGCCCTCGCGTCCGGTACCGCGCGGAGGTTAGACAAGGAGGCGACCTGTTGCAAGGCGTGGTTGCCGTCGTTCGATTTTGATCCTTGGACTGAAGTCGCCAGGTGGATGGCCGACCTCACCGCATGAACGGAGTTATTGAGCATAAGGTGTGACTTGAATGCCGACGTCCCTTGCCATCATCGTAACCCAGGCCGCTCATATTGGGGGGCCACGGGCAGGTGCGATAACGTCGTGGAGAAGAGCGTTGGTGGCGAAGGATGCAGGATTAGCCATGAGCAGCACGACGAAGCGTGCCATTCCACAGCCATGTGTGACCCTGCTAACGCTGTTAACCGCGCGCCAGTTTTTAGGTCTGACAGCGCGCCCGGTTTTAGGTCTGGCAATACGCCGGCACACATTGGGATGCGAGGTGGACTTGCTTCGATTCCGCCGAGGGCGGCAGCCCACAGGTATGTCAGCTTGTGATTAACACAAGGACCCCCCCCCAGGGGCTGATGAATAGACGCCGCGGGGCGCGAAATGTTAATCGCGCGCGCCAGGGGGTCGTCGCTGGCGCCGCCGAGGGGATTGTGTACCCCCCTGCATGACAGCCTCAAAACGATTGCCTTTCGCATAGAAATTGTTATCAGGGTCGTACACATCCGAGGCGAATTTTATTTCACTCTCTCAGGCGTCGTCGTCGTCGTCGCTGCCGCCGCCGCCGTCGTCGTCTTCTTCTTCGTAGTCCTTGTCGTCGTCGTCGTCGTCGTCGTCGTCGTCGTCGTCGTCGTCGTCGTCGTCGTCGTCGTCGTCGTCGTCGTCGTCGTCTTCGTTTTCGTCGTCGTCGTTGTCGTCGTCGGCTACAGCGGGCCTGCGCAGCGTGCAGCACCCGACGTCGCCGTCTGCCGTCCGTCGTCCTCGTCCCGTCGTCGTCGTCGTCGTCGTCGACGACGACAGCGGCCGCTGGAAACGGGCGCAGGCAGGGCGGGGGATGGCGGCGACGACGGCGACAGAGGTGGGGGGGAGGACTACCCGCCTTGCTCGGGTGGGACGAAAGGCTGGGGAAGGAAGGGGGGTTGCGAAGCATGCTGCGCGCAGCTGGTTTCGGTCGCCCCGCCGAAAGGCTAGTCCTCGGCGCATGGTCGCCTTCGGCGCCAGGAGGCGCTTGGAAAATCGTTGACGTGAGCTGGCTGGCAAATCCCCCCTTTGCTGCGCCCCGCTTTCGTCCAGCCCGCCTCGCCCGCATGCCCGCATCGGTTCGACAGAAAAAGGGGCTCCCTGGCTCGCCGTTGCCTCCAAACACCCCCCGTGCCCCTCGTTGGCGGCCGGGCGTCAGCGTTAATCGCGGGCGCCGCCCCGTTGATTTTCAATCTGGCGGGCGCCATCCCGCGATCCGCCCGAGCAAGGGGACAATCTTTTTAAACGCGCGCCACCCCACGGATTTGGTAAGTAAACAACGATCGCTACATATGAAGTGCAATATGTTGTACGGCTCGTTTTTTTTTTTTTTTTTTTTTTTTTTTTTTTTTTTTTTTTTTTTTTTTTTTTTTTTTTTTTTTTTTTTTTTTTTTTTTTTTTTTTTTTATTATTTTTTTTTTAAAAAAATATATAATTATTATTATTATTTCCACGTTGCAAAACTGTAAGTCGCGTGTTAGGAAGTTAGTGCGCGGTTGCGGCCATTTTTTCCTCCTGCTTGCACCAGTTATGCTTTTACTGACCTTTTTGTTTGTGTAAGTTGATTTGGTCGGATGGGGTCGTGTCTTCATTGCGTTGCCCGTTCGTTAAAAAACGTCCGTTGCCGTCCATTTTGCTGTTCGCATCTCTCCGTGTCCACATTCGGTGTGTCAGCCGAAGGGCGGTGTTAGAATTTGGCGTTCCGACTGTGTGACTAGGGTAATGTATTGAGCTCGTCAGACGGAGGCCGTTGCCGACGCCATTTGGCTCAAGTGACCAAGTTGAGCGTGCGCCGAACCCCGCTGTATAACAAACGTGACCAGTCCGTTTTCGTGCAAATCTCCCGCGGGAATTTCCAGGAGGCGGAGGAGGAAAAGGAGGTGGAGGAGGCGAAAAAGGAGGAGGAATAGTATGAACAGGAGGAGGATATGGAGGAGGAGGATGAGGAGTAAGAAGAGGAGGAGGAAGAGGAGGAGAAGGACGAAAACGAGGAGGAAGAGGAGGAGGAGGAGAACGAGGAGGAGGAGGAGGTGGAGACTTCGAGCGGGCACGTTCGGAGTGGGGCCTCCAGAAATTGTGTTTGAAGGCCTCCGCGGCGGAGGTTTGGACGACGAGCTTGTCGTTCTTGTCCCGCCGTTTCCTGGCCGTAACCTCCGCCTCCTGTGCGTTCGTCTATGGCGCCGCATCTTTCTCATCTTCCTCGTCTTCTTGAGCTTCCTGGCAGCAGCGCTGGTCACGCGATGTGCGCCTCAAGCGACTGGGCACGCACGGGCAACCCACAGGAGGTTCAGGGGAGTTACGCCAGTTTTAGGGCACCTGCGCTGTGGAACGCATTGAGGTCACAGGAGAAATCCTTAGGCAAATCTAGTCAGGGAGCAGCGCTGGCAACGCGATGTGCGCCGCAATCGAGCAGACACGCTCAGAATGGGCTTCTGGGCGAGCTTTCTGACAACAGTGTTGGCGGCGCGACGTGAACGGGGAGCGAGTGGCTACGCTTGGAGTTACCTTCCTGGCCAACCCTTTCGGCTGGCGGCGCGATGACTGCTTGGAGCGAGCGGGCACGCTTAAAGCGAGCCTCCTGGCATGCTTTCTAGCAACAGCGCAGGCAATGCGAAACCTAATTCTCGGTGGGGACGCGAGCGGGACACCGCCCGAGGGAACCCGAGTTGCGGGTGGTCGTGAAGCAGGCAGTCAGAGGGGAGTTCTCGTTAGTGAATGACAGAAGCCTTGATGCACTCCGGCAGGGTCTGCGGACTCGCGGGGTCCTATGGGGCGCTGGCGGTATCTCGGGGCCCCTGGAGAGTTGGAGGCGGAGGCGGGGAAGAAGGCAAGACAGCGCCCCGAGGTACCGAAGAGCCCTTTAACGTGTGCGTGCGCCTGTGCATGGACGGGCCAAAGCGGTGCCTCCAGCTGCTGTTCATGAGGCAGAACAAGACCATAGGTGGAAGGCATCAGAAACTCATTCATGCCCCTTTTTATAGGTAAGCAGGGTGGATAATGAGGAAGAATGCGGAGGGAGGACGACGATGAGGATGGGTCATCGTCCGGAAGAGGGGGTGCAGGAGGATGATGATGATGCTGCTGCTGCTGCTGATGATGATGATGATGATGGTGGAGATGAGACGAGGAGGAGGATGAGGAGAATGCGGGAGGAGATGTATGATGAGTGCTTAGGAGCAGGGACGGGGAGGAAAGAACAGGATGAGGGTGAGGAGGGCGGCATGGTGATGATGACGATGATAATGATGATGCTGATGCTGATGCTGATGCTGATGCTGATGCTGATGATGATGATGATGATGATGATGATGATGATGATGATGATGGTAGTGGTGGTGGTGGTGGTGGTGATGATGATGATGTTGCTGCTTCTGATGATGATGATGATGATGATGATGAAAGTGGTGGTGGTGGTGTTGATGATGACGACGGCGACGATGCTGACGATGATGATGATGACGACGTCGGCGACGGCGACGACGATGATGATGCTGATGGTGATGATGATGATGATGATGATGATGATGATGATGATGATGATGATGATGATGATGATGATGATGATGATTGTGATGGTGCTGGTGATGGTGATGGGTGATGCTGATGATGACGAGGATGACGGACGACAACAACGACGACGACGATGATGGTGGTGGTGGTGGTGGTGTGGTGGTTGTGGTGATTCTGATCATGACGCGTCGACGTTGACGACGACGATGATGGTGATGATGGTGATGATGATGATGAGGATGATGAGGATGGTACTGATGGTGATGGTGATGCTGATGGTGATGGTGATGATGATGATACTGATGATATCGATTGTGATGGTGATGTTGATGTTGATGGTGATGATGATGCTGATGATGATCATGCTGATTCTGATCGTGATGGTATGATGGTGGTGGTGATCATTATGATGGTGGTGTTGGTGATGGTGGCGATGTTATAGACGATGGCTCTAATTCAAGTGATGATACTACAAGATGGTGATGCATCTTGCGGTGGCGGTGATGATTTGGATAAGGAGGGGGAGGAAGAGGAATGATGAGGTGGTTGGGGAGGAATGAGAAAGGAGGTCAGGGATGATCAAGAGGATGGCGCGGGGGAAGGGGAGAACGAGGACAATTCGGAAGAGCAGAGTGTGCCCCTCTTGGCTTCCCAGCAGGCTACATCCCCACGGAGGTGCAGCCAGGATGTCTCGTTTTGGCAGCTGGTGCCCCGGTCCGCCCGCCCCAGAGGAGGAGGAGTAGGAGGAGGAGGAGGAGGAGGAGTAGGAGGAGGAGGAGGAGGACCAGAGTAAACCCAAGACGCGTCAACGATGTTGCAATATCATAGATCGCTGGAACAGTTTATTCAAGAGGCTTACGTCATTTCGCCGACCTCCACAGGGAAAACGAAGTTCACAGGTGAGCCCTTTTGGGGCCAGGGCCTTTGTGATTGTTGGGAGGGCCTTTGGGGGTCTTGGGGACCTCTTGGGGACCATTCGGGGGCCTCTTTTTGGGTCTCTTGGGGGCCGCTTCGATTCTTTTTCGGCCTGCTGGCGGTCTCGGGGATCCGTTCGGGACGGAGGGCTCGAAATGTCAGTTCGAATTGCCCGTCTTGGGCCCCTCTGGGGGCCATGTTGGGGCCCTGTTGGGCCATCTTGGGCGACTCTTTGGTCGTCTTGAGGTCCTCTTGGGGGCTTCTTGGGCTGTCTTGAAGCTATCTTGGGGGCCTCGTGAGCCGTCTTGGACGCTGTTAAACCCGACGAGGCGAACATGCCAAACGTACATGTTTCCCACAGGGATTGGGACGATTTTTGACACCTGTGGCCTTCTTCGAGGTCCTCTCGGAGGCCTCGTGGGGTGTCGTGGAGGCCACCCGGACAGTCTTGAGGCCATCTTGGTTGTTTTTGGTACCTCCTCGGCGTGTTGGAGCCCAGCTTAAGGCAGTTGAGATAGTAGATTGGGCATTTTGTAGGCCACGGAATGCAGACTGGGAGGCTCCAGAGGTCCCAGAGTTGCGTTGAGGAACCCGGCCGCCACCAACTCCCCTTTGAACTCGATTCTGGACCCTGGGGGAGGGGGGAATGGGGGAGGGAGGGGGACAGCCAACTGTCTCACAAGCCGTGTCACCCCTGGCAAGCGGGGGAAGGCGGAATTCCACTGCGGGACATGTTCCACTAGAAAGCAACCGTCTGAGAATCCTGGGACTTCGACGCGCGGATTAACGTGACTGGTCCGTCCTGGCACATAAGTTGTGCCAGAACACCATTCGTGGGACTGCAACACCTCGGATTAACGTGACTGATGCGTCCTGACATTCAAATTCGTGCCAGAACACCAGTCTTGGGACCGTACTAATCCTGTACAAGATGGTGAACTTTTAAGACGACTTTGCGCAGCGCGTAGGCGAGAGCCATGTTTTGAAAAGGGACCGCACTCCATCTTTGATGTTGTGACACACTTTAAGGATAATGTGCGCCGTGCTCTGACGAGAACAACATTTTGAGAAAGATCTGCCTTCCTTTTGTGAAACTGTTGCCTTTTTTTGACGAAAGTGCGCGGCGCGACGGCGCGAGCCATACCTTGAAAACGAGCCTCCTTCCATCCGTGAAGCTGTTGCAGACTTCCAAACGAAAGTGCACAGCTTTTGAGGCGAGCGCCAACCCTGTGGAATTGTTGCAACCTTTTGCGAATAATGTGTGCGCCGCTTAGGCGGGAGCCAAATTTTGAAAAGGAGCTACCCTCCATCTGTGAAGGTGTTGCACATTTGTCCAAACACGCTTGCAGTTTTGGGTTCTGCCTTGTCTTTTGAGGAACTGGGCCCGCGGGCCGCTCTGGCCACCGCGTGGCCGCCGTCGCCGCCTCGTCGCCGCCCGCCGCCGCCCGTCGCGTGGGCACTTCATCGCAATCGCATTGCATTACAATCGCATCCCTTTGCAATGGCCTTGCGTTGCAATTGAATTGTGCTGCGTTGCTTTGCATTGCCATGCCGTGCTTTGCGTTGCTCTGCGTTGCATTGCTTTGCGTTGTTTTACATATGTGTGACTGCATCACGTAGACTGAGTGTACACTGTTAACTCTTCTCAAACAGTGGGCTCGTGTATAGCATATCATAACTTTTTTTTCCGAAATCCCTTGCACCAAATGGGACGCAGTGCGCACGCGCGCGTCGTCGCGCGCGTGCAGCAAACCTTACGTTTCGTAAGGATTTCAATCGACTGGTACGAGAACATGTGAATGCACATGGTTTCGCAACACGGATTTTCAAAAAGAGTGCGTGCTCGCGCTGTTGCAGGTTCTTCAAATAATCATAGGTATTCAACATCTCCATCACAAGGTACCAAATGGACTTCTTTTTCGCGCGTGCCGAAGTCGTTCAGACGTCCCTGCGCGCGTGCTGTCGCAAGAATCGCCTGGAGGAAATGGGGCGAAGGGCACGCGCGCGCGCGCCGTCGCGCGCGCATGCCGCAATCTTCTTAAACCTCAGGTTTCGCGAGGATCTCACAATCGAGTTTCACGAGCCCGTATTTCACAACTCCATTTTTGAAGAAAGCATCCTGCGCGCGCGCTCTTACGAATTCTTACGACATTTTTTCTTTCTCAGCGCTGTCATCGAATTCTACCAAGCGGGCCTCTCGCGCCGCATGCTGAGCTCCCCCGAGCGCCCTTGCGCGCGTGCTGGGGGAGGGGGGGGGGGGGGCGCGATCCGCGTGGAATAGTGCAGCGCGGGCCTCTCGCGCGCGTCGAATTCCTTCCAGAACCTTCGTCGCCGACGCGAGGGCGTCGTCATCGTTATCGGCGGGCGTGATTACCGGGGGCGCTGCCACTGGCCTTGCCGTCGTCATCGCCACCGTCGTCATCGTCATTGTTACTTTCATTATCGAGTCTACCGCTGTTGGCGTCGCCATGATACCGCTGTTGGCGTCGCCGTCATTGGCCTTGCCGTCGTCATCGCCACCATCGTAACCGTCGTCGTTTTTTTTCATCGTCGCGTTCACCGTTTTTGGCGTCGCCATGGTGCCGCGCCCGCCCAAATCATCGACTCGCGCTGAAGTGCCCGCTGGGAAGTGCCAGGCGGTCAGCGCCGCCGCGGCCGCGTCGGTCGCGCCGCCGCGCTAGCCGGCCGCTGCGCGCGCGGGTGCGCGCGGGCTATCGCGGCGGCAGATGCGCACTGGCACGCCCCAAGCGCTGATCTCAGTCGCCGTCGCATGGTTCTGACAGTATTGCAGGCTAAGTTTCGGGTGGGTGGGTGGGGTGATTGCGCGAGCAGTGGAGTTGGCAACTCACTGCGAGCATGGGTGATTTCTCCTTTGCGCAGAAAGTTGGGATCTCTTCCCCTTCCCCCAGGGTTGACGGGCCGCCTTTACGCATGATTCTGCCTCGCCGCCCGTCATAATTGTGAACTCATGCCATCCCTGCCACGCCGGTATCGCCCGTAGCGGATGTTCTTCTGTCCGAGGTCCGACCGTCATCACGCGTGCCAACGCCCACCGGGCAAGAAGACCCTGGGGCTTGCGCGAGACGCGCGCGCCCCGGGGCCGCCGCCCGTGCTGCGCGGTCCTGGGCGGCCGCCTCCTCGCCGCGCCGACGGCCCCCTCCCCGTCCTCCCCGTCGAATTATATTATGCGCGCGCTCTCGTTTATCAGTATCCATTCGTCTGCAAGATCCCCAGGGAAAGCGCGTGGCGAAGTGCGCGCGCTTTTCTCTTGCCCCGAGACCACGTGGCGCATGTGGTCTCGCAGCAAAATTTGTTTCAAACAAGCTTGCGCCTGCGCTCTTGCGAATCCTTGAGACAATCCACATTATCAAAAGATTCTGCCGAGCAGTCCTCTCGCGCCGCGCGCCGACATCATTCGAGCGGCCTTGCGCGCGTGCTCTCGGGAGGCGCGATCCGCGTCAAATGGTGCCGCGAGGGCCGCTCGCGCGCGTCGTCCGCGCGCGCGTGTCCAGCACCATCTAAGGCCTTCGTCGCCGACGCGAGGACATCGTCGTCGTTGTCGGCGGGCGTGACCAGCGGCGCCGTCATTGGCCTTGCCGTCGTCATCGCCACCATCGTAACCGTCGTCGCTTTTTTTCATCGTCGCGTTCACCGTTTTCGGCGTCGCCATGGTGCCGCGCCCGCCCAACTCATCGACTCGCGCTGAAGTGCCCGCTGGGAAGTGGCAGGCGGTCAGCGCCGCCGCGGTCGCGTCGGTCGCGCCGCCGCGCTAGCCGGCCGCTGCGCGCGCGGGTGCGCCCGGGCTATCGCGGCCGCAGATATGCACTGGCACGCCCCAAGCGCTGATCTCAGTCGCCGTCGCATGGTTCTGACAGTATTGCAGGCTAAGTTTCGGGTGGGTGGGTGGGGTGATTGCGCGAGCAGTGGAGTTGGCAACTTACTGCGAGCATGGGTGATTTCTCCTTTGCGCAGAAAGTTGGGATCTCTTCCCCTTCCCCCAGGGTCAACGGGCCACCTTTACGCATTGCAGTTTACGCTTGATTCTGCCTCGCCGCCCGTCATAACTATGAACTCATGCCATCCCTGCCGCGCCAGTATCGCCCGTGGCGGATGTTCTTCTGCCCGAGGTCCGACCGTCATCACGCGTGCCACCGCCCGCCGGGCAAGAAGACCCTGGGGCTTGCGCGAGACGCGCGCGCCCCGGGGCCGCCGCCCGTGCTGCGCGGTCCTGGGCGGCCGCCTCCTCGCCGCGCCGACGGCCCCTTCCCCGTCTTCCCTGTCGAATTATATTATGCGCGCGCTCTCGTTTATCAGTATCCATTCGTCTTCAAGATCCCCAGGGAAAGCGCGTGGCGAAGTGCGCGCGCTTTTCTGTTGCCCCGAAGCCACGTGGCGCATGCGGTCTCGCAACAAAATTTGTTTCAAACAAGCTTGCGCTTGCGTTCTTGCGAATCCTTGAGACAATCCACATTTTCAAAAGATTCTGCCGAGCAGTCCTCTCGCGCCGCGCGCCGACATCATTCGAGCGGCCTTGCGCGCGTGCTCTCGGGAGGCGCGATCCGCGTCAAATGGTGCCGCGAGGGCCGCTCGCGCGCGTCGTCCGCGCGCGCGTGTCCAGCACCATCTAAGGCCTTCGTCGCCGACGCGAGGACATCGTCGTCGTTGTCGGCGGGCGTGACCAGCGGCGCCGTCATTGGCCTTGCCGTCGTCATCGCCACCATCGTAACCGTCGTCGCTTTTTTTCATCGTCGCGTTCACCGTTTTCGGCGTCGCCATGGTGCCGC